CACACACACACACACACACACACACACACACACACACACACACACACCTAAACACACTCTATGCTTCTCCAGCAGCATCTTCACATCTTATTGATCAAGTTTTTAAAAGTGTGCAGTTATAAAGTATATGAAACAATCAGTAATCTGCTCCTCCTTTTATTATAAAAAATAGACTCAAAGCCAACAGAATACAGGCTTAAACTTGTTGTACATGTTATGTATGAAACATAACAAAATATAATATTTTGTATTTTAAAGTATTTTAGCCAAAAAGCCATTTTCATTCTTCTCTGATGAAATAAAAACCACACAGTTATTTCTCTGAAGCATGTTATCCGTCTTTGAAGTGCACCACTGAGCGTCCAATTAATGAAGTCAATGCCCAAGGACACAACGAAGAATAAATGTCCACTGATCAAACATGTTTCCACCATCCCTTCCTTTCACACACCTCAGAAGGATAATACAGCCGGCTCACCATTCACTCATGAATTTAATCCTGCGGAGACTAAGAGTGTGATGGGGGGCATACAGTTATCACAGGGATGGCATGAGCAATGACATCTGCCAACTCATTTATCACCGGACTCCCTTAGTGAGAGAGACGGGATCCAATTACAGAGGTTTCTAAGGGCTCAACAATGGCCTGTTATAAATACACTCACAAAGGGTTTTCCACAATCAACAGCACACCCACACACATACAAGAACTGTTGCAGAAACATGTAGTAGGTGTATAAATGAATGTGTGTTTGGATGAACATAGGAGTCTCTGTGCTCGTCACTGGAACTAAATTATCATGGCAACTTTTCTTAGACACCTTCATTTTTGTATTGTTCTGAAGCAAAGTGAGGTATTTAGCTAAGATGCTCTGGAAAATAAATGAGATTAATATCTGCAGTGTGTACCTGTGTGTAAGTGCTTGTGCATTAAAATGTATAAAAGAGGGAGAACAGTGGAGAGGGAAACACAGACGCCCCCACAGAGCATTAAACACAAAGTTATTTACAGCTCAATCCATCAATAGACGACAGGTGCAGCATCCTCACAAACAAACCTATTAGCTTTCCGCCCGCTGGAACAATCTCTAGCAATCAGCTGCACTCTCTCACTCACACACACACACACACACACACACACACACACACACACACTCTTTGTGACTAGCCAATATTACAATTTTGATGACTTATTTGCTGAATTCTTTGAAATTGTGCTAAAGAAAAAACATGAAAGTAATGTTGGTTCCCCCAAATGTGCTTCTTTCATTTATCACTCTAATTGTATTAAATATTAAGTAATAAAAGTAAAAGTTCTAATTTTGAGGAACAGTATCTCTTGTGAGTGTTACATTATTATGCAGCATAGCATTTTACTGGACTATTTTTAGCTACACTATCTCTATAGATAAAAAAGTTGGTTGGTTGGTCCATCCCTTTGGTCCAGACCGAAGTATCTGAACAACTAATGGATGTATTACCATGACATTTTGTACACCCATTCATTGTCCCCAGGTGATGAAGTCTACTGACTTTAATGATCACCTAACTTTTCCTTTAGTCCCAACAGGAGGTCAAAGTTTTCACTTATTGCGTGAAATAGCTCAACATACTAAATGCACTTTTAACCCCCTTTGAAGTATTTACGACTACATCTGTCAAATGAATGTCCTGGAGTAAAAAATATATATGTTCCACCATTGTAGTAAAATACAAGAATAAAGGAACATAATATTGTTTACTCAAGTAAAGTACAAAAATTGTGCTTAAGTACTTGAGTAAATGCAAAAAATCTGTGAGCCACATATTAGTGGTCAGAACATAATGTCTCATGTGCAGGGTGTAAAGCTACAGTGCTGCATGACAAGGGCATAGGTCAAAAGTTCAGGGGCCAATGGTGGCTCCAGATGGGACCTTTCCACTTTTGGAAAAAGATGGTGTCAAGAAACAGTCAAAGATGAGATATTTTGACAGGGGAGTGTATTTTGACTCTGGGTTTTGGGCCATGTGAAGAGGCAACATGTCTGTCCTGTCATGTGACCATAAAGAATGAAAAGTCACAATAGCATTAGAAGGGATTGAACCAGTGGATAGTTCTGATTATAAAAAGGTTTTAATTAGAACCAAAGGAACTCTCTGAACTAAATCCTTATGAAGCCTTACATTAACTATACTAATCTGCTGGTCCCATTGCATCTGAGTTGAGCAGCATGCTTGCCATTTAGTGTCATAATGAAAAGCTCAATGCAAGCTAGCTTTCATATTGCCTCCTCCTCTTTTCTCCCCTTGTCCCTTTTTTCCACTCTGTCTGCCAACACCAAAATCCAGATGACCTGAACGTGGTGTACAGTAGGATCGAGTATCGAACGGCTGAATGCAGTCGGTGCTGCAGTCTGCTGTGGCTGAGAGTGTCACGGTGTCGTCTTCCCCTTGGTCAAGGATGTTGCCAACATTAACGCCATGTTTGACAGAACAACATAGACTCTGTGAAAAGGAGACGAAGGACTACTTTTGGTCACTTTTCATCACATCATTAACATGTAACAGGCTGCAGCACAGTGAGTGCTGTGTTAAATAAAGACTAAGCTTTGTTTCATGCACAGCAACAGACTGGAGACATGGAAATATTTTCTAAAGTCTTACTCTCAAGTTTTGCCAATGTCGCCAAAGCCCATTAAAGCTGATTCTATATCAGGCTCTTTGCGGCTTGCTTAAACAGTGGCGCTTTGAGTTAAATTCTGCAGTCAGCATGTTAATCGGTGCACAATGGATATGCTAACATGCTGATGTCAAAGGTGTTCAGCATCTTAGTTGTTCAACGTGTTCACCATCCTATTTGTCAAATGTGTTCACCATGTTAGTTCAGCATTTTTGCATGCTAACATTTGGTAATTTGCACAAAACACAAATGGCAGCTTTGGCGGTCTTTAGTTTTTCAGCTGTTTTTGGAAATGATTGCAGGCCGAAGTTCCACTTTAAAGATTTCTCTTATCAGTATCAGTATAAACCAGAGCTCTCGGGGTTGATTGGTCTTTCATGTGATGTGTTGACAACAAAATATAGAACATTGCCAGTCTTATCCTACAACCATTTTTGTAAGCCAATGCTTCCAAAAACAGAATACGTAATATACACTGCATGAATTTTGTACCACGATGAAATGGAACACAATTGTAAAGAGAGAGATGGCCCTTAAATACCGACATTCCCCAATATAAACCAGAGGAAACGAAGATGTATTAGAAGAAACAGCCTAGAAAGTATAATCTCACAAACATGGCGTAAACCAGTGGTGTATTTTAAATTTTTTTTAATATCAAATATTCTCTGTCTTTTAACACTTCTGCACCATTTTACAAAAGCCCTGGCAGTATTTTTCAAAGTCCACACACACACACACACACATGTCCCAAACAAAACACATACAGTAGAAGAAAGAAGTGTTCTTCATATTGTTTGAACACTGTTTGGGTAAGTGCTCTTAGCTGCTCATCTTCTCATCACATTTTTGATTCCTTAAGATATTTGGAGATGAAAATGCAAAAGAAAATCCAACATACAAAAACTGCACAGCTGAGAAGAATGTGGAAGACGGTAGGAGAGCTTCACGAACACATGCAGTGTGATGTATTTGCAGCCAAAGACAAGAAACCAGTTGATATCAAACATGAAATGTGTGCTTATGCGTGTGGATTTTCAAGCGATGTTGGGTAAAAACTAATTTTATAAAGAGTATGTATAGCTGATTGTGGATACAGGGAGACTGTAAAATGTGCTTTGACTTAACTTAATCTTAAAATGGCTCTGTTGCAGTTATGAATTTCCCTGCCACAGGAACATGTGAACAGGATTTAGTACTTGTTGATCCTAAACCACCTGTCGGCCCTTGATGTCTTCCCAGTTTAGCAGTACAGGTTGTGAGTTCAAGTATGGTACGCTCTTTTTTAAATTGTATTAAAAATCACATGCCTCAGGCACTTCATATCAGAATCTGGCACTGACTGGAAATCATATTAAAATATGGAATAAATGTTGATGGTGTCACTGAAATTGATTATTTCACATGTGGATCTCACTGTATGTGATATTTGGAATGAAAATTCACTTAGTGTCACTTATTATGGTTGAAGGAGTGAGGCTTGATAAAAGGCACTTTGAATTTAGTCAATTTGTGTTCTTAAAAGCCCACAAAGTGTGTTGTTACAGGGACATGCAGTTCAACGGTAACTCTGCCAACATCAGACTTTACAAGTTGTTGCAAAATTGCAGCATGGGGTTATGGCAGAACATTTTGCTTAGCTTAAGGCAATAAGGTTTTTGAGTGGTAGTATCAAAATAGGAGTAAACTTTGGTCCGAGACCTTCCACAGGAGCACAATTGGGATTAAAACTATCTTTTGTGATACAAAGAAATTAGTAAATATTTCCCTTTTGAAAATAAGGACTCCACAGTTCTTTAAAGAAACAGGATGTGAGATTCTGCCTGCATTTTTCTACTAAATAGTCTACTATCTCAGCTTCTTAGTGGGATCAAAAAGCAACTTTAAACACTGTTTTTTTAAGAGATTAGTGTGGTTCTTTTGATTTTAGGAAAAGCTGAGTATGTAATACTGCATTGCATCTACCCAAATATCCATGGCTTACTAGCTGCATAGCAGGACAACATTCACACATCCAGCACAGCAATAAAGTCAGTTTACAAATGCACACAAAAATATGTATAAACAGTGTCCTGAACTGAGTTCCGTCTTTTACAGTTTCATTGAACTGAAATAAATCTTGATGCGGTACTCGCACATGTACCATACTCCTTTTTAAAACTTAATGTTAGAAAAATAATGGTCTCTTGAACAATGTCAGACATTCGTCAGCACACAAGTCAGTGTGAGAAGGAGGTTCACCAGTAGAGTTCAATGATAAAACTTCACATTAGGTGCTTTGAGTCTATCATCTTTACAAATAACACATTTGTGTTCATGTTTTTTTAGAACGGCAAAGTATCCATAAAGATTTTTTCCACTATTGGTGGAGGAGGGACCAGGTCCTCTAGTTTCAGGTAGAAGATGCGCTGTAGGCCCTGTGTGCACAGAGTCCTCAGTTCGGGGAGTTTGCCCAGAAGACGAGAAAGATAGTTGGGCCGGCTCGGTTCAGAGCCGTTTCCGCTCACATGTTCCCTTAAACAAGTGATGAGATGACTCTGAAAGTCCTCGACCCGTTTGGGCTCTTTGAGGCCATGGCGATCTAGATGCAAAAAATGTTCTCATGAGAAACACAGTCCTGAATATAAACATACAATTAAAATGCAGTGAGCTTCACTGTAATGATAAGCAAACAAAGGCTCTCACCGGTGATGATAACTAACGCTGCAAGACAGGCAAACAAGGAGAGATCTAAGTTCATGCGGTGAAGGCTCTGGGAGAAATCCATGATGGAGTCAATCCAGTCACCAAAACTGTGAACGCACTGCAGTCGGTGGAGGACCAAACCGTTACAGAAGATCAGCTTGTTCTTCTCTGGATTTGACCTGTCAGGTTTCAAACCAATAGTACAATCAGCATATTGAAAGGTGCACATTAGTCTTGTGAAATATTAGTTAACATGGCATTTTTTTTTAACTGTAAAAGAAGCCGACCTGTATGCGAGTCGCAGAATGAAGAGTTCAACAAAAGCTGATTCAAGGAGAAGCTCCTGGTCCTCTGTGCAGAAATCTGTGAATCCTGGGATGGTTTCAGCCCAGATTCTTATTACATCCAAAGCACCGGTCAGCAAGTCATAAAACTGCTGGATATCACTGGCTTCCTCCTTATCTTTCAGGTTCACCACAGTCTCCTGGTACTGAGGAGGAAGAGAAGGGAAGGGTCAATGCTACTGAAGAGAACTGTAAATACCATCGATGAGATGTTTGCTGACCTGTGTTGAGTGAATTTTTGATGATCTCATTGGTACAAATGAGCTCTGAACATGCCGCAAGTCTTTAGATTTACCTTGGAGTAGTCGAGCTTTCCAATGGTTGGGTTTGAGTCCAGATGAGCCCTGACAAGAGAGGCTATGATGTTGACACTGGGGGTTGTGGATGAAGCCTCGGCCACAGTCTTGGGTTTGGAGGGCAGACGACCCCGGCGACCTTTGAGGCTGTCCGTGCGAACAACTAAGACAGGGACGAAAGAAAGCAGCACTTGAAGCATACGTTTGTGACGCTCACATGGCCATCGCTTCTTGTGACAATTTAAAAAACGACTGCTGTATCAGTTTCTCTTTTTCTGCAGCTGGCACCATAAGGCTCTGGTTACATATGTCTGTCATTCCTAGCTTTGGTTTCAAAAGACTGTCACTACAAACCCCAGTTTGTCATACATTAGTCACTGACAGTGAGTCTGATATTGCATTACCTTCTTTGACCATTCCCACGACGAGACATTTCTGGAAACGGCAGAACTGGCAGCGGTTTCTCCTCCTCTTGTCCACAGGACAGTCTTTATTGGCGAGGCACACATACTTTGCATTTTTCTGTACAGTTCGCTGTCAAACAAGAAAAAAAATACATTACTATGAGCAAACATAAAATAAAATTTGCATTCTGTCTTATGTCGGCTTAACTCAGTATATAGTCCGACCAATACTGTATTTTTGAGGCTGATACCAATATAGCAATTTTAGAGTTCAAAAAGTCTAAATAATAATACTTTACCCTCAAAAATTGTACTTAGTGGTACCACTTTACATTGCACATGGAAAGTGGTCAGTGCTCTCTGGTTGACAAACTTTGTATGGTATCACTATTTCTAAACTATTTCAAACATAGCTTTGAATGTTCGTACTGCAATGGCTCATTACTTTTACCAATATATGCAATAAGCTATTGTCAGCCAATATGTCGTCCCAGTCAATTTATCGATCAGAATCTAGTCTTGACTCACCGGATGTGGACTGTGGGTGTAAGTCTGCCATTGGCCATGTATCTCAAGCTGCAGTCTCCTCAACTTCCGCTATCTGTGCTATCTATTTTGCAACGGCACCGTCGCTGCATCCTGTGCTTAATGCTGCCCAAGACGACTGTGAATGGTTTGAAGAAATACAAACATGCTAGACCGTTTTTCCCCTATACCAGAATGATAATGTGTGGAGCCAGACAAAGCGCTGTGGAGATGGGTCTGGCTATGTAAGACTCGTCAGGCTCTACTCAGTAGAATAAACATACTGTTCAGCTATTTACCTTGAAGAAACCTTTGCAGCCCTCACAGGTGCGGACTCCATAGTGCTGACAGGATGCATTGTCACCACAAACTGCACAGCGGCCCTCACTGGATCCTGAGTTGTGGGTTTTAGGAGACATCATGGCCCCCTCCACTATCCTGGGGCTTTCCAGGGGTCCGTGCTCCAGGGACATTGGAGGACAATGAAGTGGAGAGACATGCTGCTGAGTAGGCAGAAAGTAATGGTCATCATGGCTTGGCTGAGCATCCTGATGGTGCCCCAGGGGAGAGTGCTGCTCTGGTGCGGGGCTGCTGAAGGAGAAAAAGGAGAGCTGCTGGGCCATGGCACCCTTATCCGCCATAGAGGACGGGGGCGCTGAGGGGTAGGGGCTGAAAGGGGAATCCCACACAGGTGCAGACTGGGCCTGAAAGCCTGATGTTGGAGGGGAAGCAGCGGCATAAACCGGGCTGCCATAGTAGTCAGAGCCACCTGACGATAGTGTTTCATCAAGGCAGCTCAGCGCAAAGGAACCTGGGTAACAGCCATACACCTGAAGATCATCCAGCTTGAAGGCTTGGCTTTGCATCTGAGGGCAGGAGCTTTCAGCTACCGCGGCGTGGCTGAATGAAACCGTAGAGGTGGGAGGGGAGGTGGTAATCTTGCAGGAATAAGCATCAAACTCCCCCACATAGCCATTTCCCACCAAGGTGTTGATGCCGGGCAACGAAGATGTAGACAGCTGGTCATTTTGGCCACTGATGTCCATCACCAGTTTTGCACTGAGGTCAGGATTCAAGAACTCAAAGCTGAAGTAGTTGTCATGCGGCAGGGATGCATACTGAGTTTGTACACAGGGCATTGCTAGGACAAAGAACAAAGAACAAAAACAATTACAACTGATGAAAAATAAACCTCAAATTTTGTCTATGTTATATAAATATTGTTTGTATTTATATCGTCTAGATGTCTTAATACTTAAAAAATATGTTTTTTATGTAAGTAACTGCATTGTAAAATAATTATTCACTTGGGATAACTGGCTGACAGGAAGTTGTCGACCTAAACATACGTATAGAGTAATGCATGCACTGAAGTTCAGACATCCCAATAATTAGATATTCGTTTAGGTCAGCGTTTTCTAATCACCCTTTTATAACCTTCTAAACAGTAGCTTACTTTAACACCTTTAACACACAAGGTCTCATTTCCTCTACATGCCATTTGTCTGGCTCTAGGACTAATCAGTCCTCTTTAGAAAACGCAGAGGGAGATCCAGTGAAGCAATCAGATATCATCAGATATTGTGTTACTGGCTGTTAATGCTTTGAAAACCTCCTTCAGTGGAGGGCAACCCCCTTTGGGCCGTACCAGGGAGTGTTGCTGGATTGTATTTCATGGTGGGATGAATGCCAGCTGAAATAGGAAAGGTGGCAAAGCCTGTTTATGTGTGCGTGCGTGCGTGCGTGCGCATGTGTGTGTGTGCATGGTTGGCTGAATGGGTGTGTATTTACATGTGCAAACTTCCTCACTCTGTGTTTTTCAATACAAAAATGACACACGTCTCACCTGATCACTGTTGTTTAACACACACATTGTTAAATAATATTTGCAAACTTAGACACTACTCAAGTGTCCAACGTGTGTTTTAAGTCCTATAAATATACTCTATACATCTTCTTGTATATCAACGGTAATACATAAAACATACATGTGGAATCATGTTAAGTCATTAAGATGAAAATATATTGTCGTAAACTCTGAGCTATTAAGCTCAGCGTATAGATCAGACAGCTGATAAAACTGTGAGAATAGTACAGTTGCAACAGAAGTATTTGTAGGACAAGGGTTCACTAATGACAAAATATACCCCTCTCTCCATAATAATAAAGTTCCACTCAGTTGCTCAAGTTTATTAGGTAGGCCTACACCTAGAGCTAAAACTAATGCTCTAACAGAGTGCCGTTGATTCAAATTTATCAATGAGGGTAGTCTAAGTGAATAAACAAACCTTTTTTCAACATAACTGAACATTATAACCACGAAGGAAGATTTGCATGGATGTTGTATTAGACAGCATTAGCTTTCGTACATAACCAACTTGCAACTGACTGTATAGCTCTGGCTGCTACGCAAAGAGGGAGGCTGAGGCATGACATCTTTATACATTATTTTCTATCAAACTAACTTGAGTAAAAGGGTGCATATGTTTAAATGTTGTATCAGCAGTCTAGTCCGCTTTGAGCCTATATTATTATGAAAGTAGTTATAATGAAGGATAAAGGCAGGCATATCAATTTAATATCAGCAGTAATCTGCCCCCTGAATAAATAAATATCAAAACATGCAAACAAACAGTTCACTTTCACTCACCTGGTTCATGTAAATATCCGGATTTTTAAGCTTTTCATTTATTCCAAACGAGTGAAACTGGTGAATGTCACCCCTGCCAGCTGCTGTCAGAACACACACTCATTCAAACACACTCTCACACACACATACTGGGTCAGACCAACGCAGGCGGATCCATACACTCTTGTTTTATTTTGGCTACGTCGACAAAGAGGCGGGTCAATGCCCAAAGATGGTGAACAGGGCGGTGGAACGTTCCGGGTCGCGAGCCAATCAGCGTAAGCGAAACGCAGACGTTCTTCCGTGTGACGCACAACGGGATTCCATTGACGCAAGAGCCGGGGAGCGTGCGTTCTAAATATAAACCGACAATGACAGCGGCGCTCACATGGGGCTATTACTGGATGAAAGGCTAAAAATAGCCGTAGTTTGGAGGTGCAGACGTTATATGAATGGAAATATAGATGCTATACACGTTTACAACAGGGAGGTGTGTTATCACATGGCTGACCAGGAAACACCTGGTTTTTTTTCATAAAATATGATTTCTGTTGTCACAGAACGGCTAGAAACTCCCTATTCTCTGGCATCTTTCAAGTAAACATGGGGAAAAGGTACCAGGAGTACACATTTCTACCATGTAATATGATTGAAAGATTTTTTTTAAACGGTTACTAAATTATGTTTTTTTTTTTTAATCTTGTATATACTCATACTTTGTAATGATTTGTAGTGCTTTGTGTTTGATTCTGTTTCAGTTTTGTTTGTCAACTTTATGCAATAATGTTTAAAATTGACATGTATTTTCATGTATTTCTTCAAATTAGAGATGATTACACATGATACATTTCAAGCAATTACCAATGAATACAGTTAAGCTGAAATCATTTAGCAAAGTTTCACTTTTTAAATGGTTACGAATGAACACTTCAAATATGTAAATTTCACAACAGACAATTATCACAAGAGGAAATCCCCTCCATACAGGAGGCCTCTAATCCAGACAGACTGCATTAGACACACTAATCCTGTGAGCACTTTGACATCTAAATTCTGACCCACAAAATATGTCAATTACACGTTAAATTCAAGAGATGTGACAACAAATTTGCACCATGGATGCCACAGCTGCAGGTGTCCATTTGTCAAAATCAATCCAAGCATCACCTAATACCCCTTATTAATACCCAACAACCAAAAAAAAACCACACGAACACTTAAACTCTCTCGGGGGATCTTTGGGAGTGATCTAGTTTCTCTGTTAATTATGAAGAAAGTGAGAGGGATCATTCAGCGTGAGAACCAGTTAAGAGGATCTAAACAGACCTGCGGGAATGGAGTCAATTTAAGGGGATTGCACATGATGCTGTGTTTTGTGCAGTATGAATATAAAATGACAGACTAGACTGAAATGATTCTTTATGGCACTTTCACTTAGTCATGCAAGAACACACATGCTGGCATGTAGTATGCACACATATATAAATACAAAGACAAAATATATTGCTTGTTTTAATTAAACAGGAGTTGTGTCAATTAAACAGTCGAATTCTGTGAAGTAGTCCATTTATGCACCTGAAGCTCGACCACAGTCTGGATACAACAATCTGAATTCTTACTTGTTTCTTGTATGGTCTTGAAATAAGTAAATTTATGTTTAGAATTGGTTTGTATACAGTATGTTACCATAAGTTAGCACTGGCACATTTTGACAGACTTGTCTTGTGTCTTTTGTTTAATTAAACTTAACGATGAAATGAAATGATGTTGCTTTGCCAGCACTGGATACTCCTTTCACACTCAAAAAAAGTCAAAGGAGATTTCACATTTAAATATAAAATTTTCTCACCTACTTTTTAAGATTTGCATTTTGATTTTCATCTGCAGGATGGAAATATATTTGATTAATCTTTCATTTCCACCAACTCCACTCTCTGCTCTTTCCTCCATCATCAGAGACTCCTTATGTGTAATGTCTGATGCCTTCTCACAAGAGTTCAAGTGTGCTGTGTGCACGCACACGCACAGACACACACACACACTAACGTTTTCTGTTGCCACTTCTCCTCACCACTTCTGGATTAGGCCTCCTGCGTTCCCTCCCACATTGAGGCAAAGCCTGCCTCACTGTAGGCTGCCATGCTTTGGATTTAGGGAGATTTAAGCAACTCAAATTTAGAATTTCAATAAGTGGGCTGAATGCACATTACTATTACATAAACATATAGCCTAATACTTTAAATAAATGCACAAGTCAATACTTTCAAATATAAGCACCCATACACACTCTTTATAGCAGATAAGCATGGGATTACAGTTTAGCTGTATTAAAGATGTTTTTACAGGCAAATGTTGGTTCTTTCTACTTTGAAAGCAGTTGAAGCAGCATGTTATTAAGAACTGTGATTTATATGGTTCTTATGACCATGTAAACATTCAGGTATTCTAGCATTTGTCCATTAAAAGAGTTTAACATTTAGATGAAAATGTGTTATTTTGTATCCTCATTCTGTCGCACCTTATGGTAGAAGTCTGTCTCATTACAGTGTGAGAGCTTCATATTCAGCTGCGACATACAGTGCAACACATATAAACAGGTCGGACATTATATTACAAAGAGACTTGTAGTGGGGCGACAGATTGTAATTATTTCTGAGGAAAATTCAATAAATGTTGTCAATGTGATGCTGTATGAGCACAGAGTATGCAACATTGTCAAGACACACATGCAAATGACAGCTACACAATCTGACATTAAGACAAGTTAATAACTGAACATGCAGGCATGTTACATACATGTACTACTACTGCACGCACTAATAGACTGAACACAAGACAACTGATGGCTGACAGACACATAATGCACATCACATCACCATTTTTCCAGTCACAAAATATATTATTCGGTGGAATATATCTTATTTTATTACATTTCTGAAGGCTTCTGTGTATTGCGTGACTAAATTAAGAAAGCCTAAGCAATGGAAGCGTCTTGTTACAAAGATGATCCAAAGATAAAATTGTATGCAAAGCTACAGAACAACAACATATAGGAAACATTAATGTATTAAATACAGTGGAATGCTGTTTTTTATACTAAACTTCTACTAAAAGCTCAATCAAACCCCCTCTGCCCAGCACTTTCAGGACTAAAACTGTAGAGAAAATCTTTATAAAACTCCATTCAGTCACATTCAGTGAAGTGTTTCTCACATCATTCCTTTACACTGAAATAATGATGAATAATATATTTCTTTCAGGTGGATGAACACCGAAAACTGACAGAAAGACACGGGAACAGACAGGTAGAATAGTGTTGTTGAACAAGGTGAGCTGCTGTGAACCCCTGAAGGCTGAACAAAGCCAGTTTATCACCAGCTGCCTTAGGAAGTATAGATGAAACTACTGTAAATGTGATTAACCACAACACAATCACAACATAAGCAAATATATTCCTTATCCACACACTGTAGATACACAACATGCTCTGCTATTTAAATGACAAACAATGAATGCATTACATTTAAGTTGGCACACAATAGCAACAATCAGACTGAGAAGTGAAATTTGCTCTTTAGATTCGTTCAGTCAGTGTAGATGTCTGTACTACTGAAATTATGTAGAATTATATCAGGGATTAAGTGCATAAAACATACACACTAATACTGAATAAAAGAAACGCACAGTTACACACTCAGAGATGGACGTCTCTCTTTCATCCTGCATCATTACAGTAATATAGGTGCCGTGTGGTGCCACTTAGCAGACTGGAGCGTGCGGTGGAAGCATTGATCTACTTGTGGTGAAAGAGGCCGGGTGATTTTGTTGGCGCAGCCATCATCATGTTAGCTTGGTTCTTGTGAGTTATGTGGATCTATAATAAATATAAAACAACTTTAGTGATCAACAATTTAATTATTTGTGTATAAATACTTTTAAATTTGATCCATATCTGATCAACTCAGTGTAATTTATAAGCTGTCCAAAAACATCTCTACTTAAATTAAATCAATGATTCCCATTTTCATGAAATAAACAAAATGCGTACTTCTTCTTCTTTGAAGACACATCACTTTCTGTGTTATTTCAGCTCTCCAATATTCTAATATTCTCCCTGAGCACTGAATCCACCTGACTCTAAATGACATCACATGCATGATCAGTGAGTATAACAGGGTGCAAGGACTCCAAAGACTCAGTGGCCAGTTTATAAGGTACACCAAGCACCAGCCAGTTCATGTTGTAACTGATTTAGAGAGGCGTTGATTCAACTGTACGATCGTTTTTGAGGCTAAAGTTTGTGGTGCTGTTGAATTGTTTTGCATTGTACTGAAAGCTGTTTTTAACATTTTGTCTGCCCAACATTTATCAATGAGGATAGAGCAACTATTAGAAATAGACATCCTTGCTGCTATTTGCATGAAAACCTGATTTCCCCTGGCTTCGTTTTGAAGATTTGACACTATGAATTGTGGGTAACTGGGGGACTGTGACTCAGTTGGTGGTTTGCTATGAATCACAGGGTTAATGGATCGATCCTCAAGCTTCCCCTGTTCAAATAAGCAAGGCACAGCCTCCAAATTGCTCACAATGTTTTGGTGCGATAACCAAATCCCTTTGGATAAAATCGTCTTCTAAATAACTGTAATGTAATGTTCAAAAGGAGAGCCCTCAAACACATGCTGTGCGATAGCCCTGAGCCATCATAGATTCAGCCCTCTCTTACCCGCTTTAAGCAGCTCACACAGACAAACATAATCAGGGTGAATATTTACTATGTTTTGCTAACTGAAATATTGTTGCTCTTATCCGTGTTGCTCTTATCTACACAAAACAAATCTAAGAATACATTTAACTTTGTTGTGCACTACAATGCTGTAATCACTGATTTTAATGAATCTCATATGTGACGTCTCTTCGCACTGAATTACACTGGTTTATAGTCACTTACAGTACATGGAGGCTGCATCCAGGGCTCCCCATCGATTTGCATGGGCAGGGCTTTGATTGTCCTGCACACAGGGAGGAGAGATCTAATTATACTGTGCTATTTATACTGCAATGCACAACAATGGCCACATAAATAGGTCAGGTATTTTTTGTTATTATCATCCATCTGTAGGTAAAAGTACACAACCTGATGGTAATTTGGGAAGTCTGAGCTAGTCTGTGCCCGGCGCTCTTCAGTCCAGTGTAGATCTGTCCCATCTCTATGACTCCTTCCAGCCCCACCACCTCCAAGTGTTTGTCAGTCATATCTGCAGAGTGACGAAACACTCACAAATCAAGTTCAGAGAGTTTGTAAAAGATTAAATAAGTTTTACAAACAACCAGGTTGATGGCACTAGCACGCAAAAAGGCAGAAAAGGCTTACTGACAATATTTTGACATAATGAATTTGGTGATGTACAAACCTTGAGAGATTGTTTTAAGAAGTTCAGGGTCAGTGATAACTTCACTGGGCTCCACCAATGGTCGGATATCAGGCTTCTTGGACTCGCCCCAGAGGTTGGAGCCTCCGTGCATGCTGGGTATGTTGAGGACAGCTATGCCCTCGAGAGACATGCTGCCCAGGTCCAGAGACCTTCCACAGCACTGGTGGAGGCAAACAATATGTTGGTTACGCAACTGAAAAAAACTAGAACATGACAAACAGGTACACTCAGAGTGCAGATCTCCCCCAGGTGTGTCTGGAACCACCACTGCTGTATTGTGTGATTGAATGAGTACAACCCACGATTGGCTAACCCCTCTTTAGAAAATAAAGGGCTGTAAGGCGTTGTAAAAAAAACACTTACCGCAAGCGCCATGTTTGTAAGCAATTGGCCTAAAGTTGTTGTGTAAGACATCTCATACAATCTTGCCAAAAATAAAATGAAACACACCAAGATGTCTGCTCGCTTAGGAGCGACTGAGTGGCGGTGATATACTCTGCAGTGTGTGTACTGGTAGTGCCGTTAGCTGTTAGCTGTTAGCCGAACACACTGACCAAAACACTGAAAGTGACAAACTCAGCTATCTTATCATTTGCAGGCCCTACCAGTCAGGGGACTGTTTACAGTAGACAAAGGAGTCACAAGGCAGTCAGTGGCAGTACAAAGAGACAGTAAAAGGAGTTTTGAGATATTGAGAGACACCGCAACCAGAAGAGGCCCTTGAGCATGCAGACATAACTGGGCACGCAAAATATTATGCAGTTTGCTGCAACAGAATATGAGATTAGCCATGTACAGACACAAAGGTGCACACTCATTAGAATCGATTGCATGATTATTATGGTGGAATTATGTGAATTACAAATAATAACTTGGCGCAACAGCTACATGACTGTATTAGATATTCTAACCTCAATCGTGAGACAATCCTTCAGCCTCTTGCAAGACGCAGAGATGGTCTCAGACGTGGCAAACTCAAGATACCAAAGTTTGTTCTTCATTCTTAAAAACAAAAGAGAACAACAGCTTCCCCTTTATTATTTGAAAAAAAAAAAAAAAAGCTCTGTTACACTTTTTATTAGAAAATTCTCTTGGTTCAGACAGTTGAGTGTGAATCCTCACCTGCTGCTGAACCTCCGGGGGTGTTTCTCTCTCATGGAGTGGAAACGATGAGCGATAGAGGCATCCTGTCAAAGTCAAAAGGTAATGTATTCACGTTTCAATGAATGATGTTCCCATTCCTTCCTGCTGAGGCAATGACTCACCACTCCAACAGAGAAGTAGTTGTTAATGATCTCGTAGGGCACAGGGTCTCCAGCCTCTTGGGGGTTGTCTGGTATCACCTGGATGCTCCAGCGGTCCATGGGAACCAACATGCTAGCTTCGATCACCTCCAGGATCTCTCTCAAGTCTGACCCATCGTAGCCTTTTGTGGGATAACAGAGGAAGCAGATACATTAAATGCAGGGCTCCAACGTCAGTGCCAATACCTCAGTGAGTAGAATTAATGTGCTGATGGTTTTACCTCCTCCCCAGCGCAGACAGCGAGCCAGGTCGTTCCCCGTGCCCAGAGGCAGGATAGCTATTGGAGGATGCACCTGCAGGTTTTCTTTGTCTGAAATCACAGGCACGTTATTCAACCTTAGAGATGTTTATCTTAATTACCTCTCTGAAACCCCAAAATGACCCACAGTACCTATAGCATCCAGGATCCACCCGACGGTGCCGTCTCCTCCACACGCCAAGATCCTGAACTTGCGCAGATTGCGGAACAATTGTAGTCTGAAGAAACAAAGGCATCATTAATGTAAACAAACTCAAGCGTGTAAAGTTACAGTGGTGAAAGTGAACTGTACCCTGGAGCAGGACCTCCATTGGAAAGGTTGTACACTTGACGTGGGTTCAGCAGGTACTGAAACTTCCTGAGCACTCTGTGGAAAACAGAGAAGCACACACACAAATAAAAACAACCAGGAAGTGAGAGAAGCCATATTCTGAAAATGACATAAAAATGGAAGGATTATTTTTACAGTAAAAGAAAGTTACGCAAACATATCGAGACTTTAGGCTGCTTACCGTTCACCCTGCTTTCCTCCACTTTTTGGGTTCACAAACACCAGCAGAGGGTGGGTGTCTAGAATTGGAACAATCTGAAGAAGAATACAGATTAATTAATTTGAAGAACACAAACGTGATATGTAAGGATATATGGACACATGCTGTGAGTCAGGCGACTGCACATATTTTATATAATAAGTAAGAGGCAGAATCATTCAAACTTTTGCTTTGTCAAATAAAGAAGATTTAGGTTTTTTAAGGAAATAGGCTTGGTTTATACATGAACACCATACACCATGACTTCTATGTGTGTCTTGCACCAAAAAAAGTTTGAGTTTCCTTAATAATATTTAAACATTATGATGATATATTGTAATTGCCATGAGAGATACATTTTAGATTTTAGGAAAATTCCACTTAAAAAAATGTTGATGGTAAATGTTGAAAAATGTGCTTTAATGAACATTCATAAGGACACAAAGCTAACTGAGCCAAACTGCAAACAGAAGCAGTGTATTTGGTCATGTATTTTAAGAAGGGGATTATGCTGCAGGAGGTTTCTCTGTAAGCTTTGTTACTTTTTACTATTGCTTCCATTGGAATATATTGACACTAATATGATTTAAGCTTGTGACAGGAGGTGAGTATCTGGTACTTTAAATGTAAATATTGGACCAGTGGGTTTATCACAGCTGAAGTTGATGTAACCATGACAGGCGTATTTGACCAGGACTTCATCCAACACACTGAACTGATACAAACAGACTACAAAGACACTGGCGCAGTCCTTTTTAACATGAAAATCTTCCAAAAATAACATGACGAATCACAAAAAATTGAGATTCTCCAAAAGCAGTGATATGCAGATGGTAGTTTGAGCAGACCACTTGAAAGAGATCTCGCAGAGAAAACACACGGGTGTACAGTTGGAAAAGGAATAAAAGTGTGTAGGAAGATTTGATGACAGCAGACCTGCAGGATGTGGCCATCAGGGGTGACGTTTAACAAGCTGCTGTCTTCTTCCTGCAGGAAACACGGGACAACAAAAGAAAAAGGATAATTAACTTACAATTATCCTAAAAATCGAAATCTGCTCAAGCTAAATTAATGGTGCTGCTCATTATACCTTTGACACACCATGTATGGCCCACGGAGGAAGTATATGATCTCTCAGCGGCCCACAATCACAGGACGATAAGCCAGAGAAAATACACTCATTGTGACGCTTAAAAGAAGACAAGTCTCAGTTAACATATAGAGCAAAGAGTTCTTCTCTAATTCATCTAATTCATGTCCAAACACGCACACGCTCCTCACCATTTCCTGGCACCACACACAACGCCTCCCCGCTAAAGTCTTGATCTTCTTGTGGCAGACCTGACACTTGGTGGACTTACAGTCCGCTCTGATCCAGTCGTGAGCTGCTACCTGAGACACAGAGGAGAAGAAAAAGAGGAGGCTGAGGAAAAAGGTTTAATTCACTACTACTACTACTTTGTCCATTTCTAATTACCCAGAAAAATGTCCACTTGTTCTTCTACTCATAATGTCAAGTCTTATGGTGTTGTACAACTTCCGCTCCAAGACCAAGATTCATGTTCACTATTGCCAAACCACAAACCAGCCCCGAACGACATCAGCAAAAATTATGTTATAGTTCAATTTAATAGACTCAGCACAGACCACACCCTCAACAGAGCAGCTGCGGAGACAGCGTCAGATTTATGACATTTTGGATAACCACTGACAAGGAGACACGCATAAACAGATCAAATATCCCTATCGCACACACTGGCACCTCTGGAAGCAGATACCGAAACTTGGTCAGTTCCTTTGTGATCCTTTACTGGTCGTGAGTTGTGGTTGTGACACTACACAGAAAAGATGACAGTGACCACATCATTGTCTACATTTCTGCAAAATCAGGACATTAAGGAGATGTGCAGAGCAGACTGTACCGGCTGTAATCTGCTCTTAAAAAACACAGATGGGCTGCACTTATTACAGACTAATGCACTGTGACGTTCCCTGTCGTTAATGCGTTTGGTTTTTGGTCAGTAAAAAGAGCATTGACGTGGATATAAACACTTGACAGATACGAGCTTTCAGTTCTTGACCTTGAAAACACTAGTTTTAAAAACTAAATAACTCAGGGTTCATTTTCTAGATATTTCCACAGATTTGGTTTAAATGTGACAAAAAAGATAAGATATAACATATTCTATAATTTTCTAATTGTCAGCTAATCTTATGAAATGACCAAATCCAACATGAATTGATCACTAACATGTCCATTTACCCACAGCCTGATTTCATTTCTAAAGATTGAGAGCTCCACTGTTGTTCAAAAACACACCGATGAGACACACTGTTGCACTGCTTGACATGGACCTTCATTACCATTTACATCAGCAGTTTATTTTAAGTCAATCGCACAATGAATGCACTATTTTCTCCTTTTTCGGGACATTTGCAAAAACTACTGCAGCCCTCCTTTTTAAGACATTTCTTTTTTTGCCTCTTTTAAAAATTAATCGTTGTTGTCTTTTTAGTTTGTTAGTTTGTGAACAAAAAGGAACAAATTGACCCTTTGCTAAGCTCTGCTGCTCGCTGCTACTCCATCAAGCTGTCAGAGCTAAAGTTACCATGGAGTCCACAATGTCACTAACTGCACTCCCTGAATAAATATCTCATTTTTGGGAAAAAAGTCTATGGAGCAGAGCCGGTTAGTTGTCAGGACCCTGGTCAGAGCTGGCTAACGCTACGCTATGATTGGCCAGTCTGCATTTAAGGGGTGGGACTTAGTGAAGGGTCAATTGGCTCGGTAATGGCTGCCGCAGTAGGGACGTTGGTAAAAGTATTGAGAGACGGCCTAATGCAATGTTACTTTAGGTTGGTTGTCATGGGATTTGTTGACATAGAATATCAATGGACTAATCCTTTAATTTAGCTACAGTAAATGTAATGTAAGGAAATGGAAATGCAGCGGAGTTGTCGTGTGTGTCCTTACACCAATTTCCTTTTTAGATCCGACAAAGGTACGGGCACAGGGTTCAGGATTCCTGTTGGCACAATGACTGTGGATGGTGTACTTGCAAACTGAGGGAGAAGAACAAATGTTACAGGGGTGACTGAGTTCAAGATAAAGTGTTCTCAACTAAAACATATATGATTCTATAGCAGAATATATCTAATAATGAACAAATAATGAATGTTATAAGTGAACTCCTCTGCTTCATTTGTATTGTGTACGAGGTGCATGGTTGCCCCCCGATGGCAGCCGTGAGCTCTTACAGGTGCAGCAGAGTCCCTGCTTCCCGAGGCCGAGCAGCATGCTCTGACACACGCTGCAGTATGTCGGCTTGTTAAAGTGCTTCAACCTCCAAATATGCTGTCCATCGCTCTCCGTCATCTGTGGGTGAGAAGACTAAATTAAAGAAAAGTGGAACCGCAGTTGATCACACTGAAAAAAGTTAAAATTTCGAGTTGGTTCATTCATTAACAAAAGAGGGGATGTTTAGGTGCTGCATGTGGAGTCGCATGATTGTTCCGTCACCTTCAGTCCAAGCAGAACAAGTAAAGGCACGTTGTTCATGCCTCCCGTCACCCATTCCTCCAGAGTGACAGTCCCACTGTCATCCACATCGATCGCTGTCATCATGTCTTTGAGCACCTGTCCAATTACAAAAACTGCTGGTTATTCATCGTCTAACTCTTGCATAGTAAACTTCCTTTTACATCTGTCAGCTGCTGTTATTAACTTAAACTTTACTTTATTGATCTGATACACACATACCATTCAATTTGACCAATGCATTTAACCCAGTCTAAGCATTTAGGGGCAGTGGGTTGCTCAAGCTCTGCTCAGCGTAAGCTCTCTTTCTGAAAACAAACTTAAACTCTCCTACTTCAAATGTTATGTTATCACACTCCCCATGTAGACTTCTTGTGAAAAGTCATAAATGACAGAATAAAAAAAAAAAAAACATAGAAGCTTAAAAAGAAAAAATGGATCAAAATGAGACTCATACTGGTCTTAGTTCAGTCACGTCCCAGCCGAGGTAATCAGCAGCTCGCATCATCTGGGCGATTATACAATCCACCTCCTGATGGAGAGACAACAGGGTCATCTTGTGCAAAATACTGTGACCTCTGACAAATTACAAACAAAACCAGCCACTAAAAATACTGTAAGTTAAATGTAGTCTAACTGCAGTTGGGTCTTATTATTTAATTATTACTTGTTTGTTTATTGATGATATACGGTTGGCTTCGAAAACTGTTTTGTTTTTCCCCCTTTTATTTTGAAAATGGATGGTTTATGATTATCAGACTGTTAAGATCTAAAATATCTTAAATAAGGCTTTTCAAATATGCAGTGGAGGAACAAGACTGTAGTATTAATTAGCCTTTATTTACAGTTTTCAAAAGTGGATGTGGGTGCCGCTCCATGTTGCCAGCTGTTGCACCAGCAAGAAATACATTAGCTGGATGTTAACAGTCAGCGGCATTTCCTGTTCTGCATATTCATCCCTCAACATTTCAACTTATAAATTACATATAGAGAGAAGCTTACTTATTGAAAACCCAGAATAATTCGACTTTTCAGTGTTTGTTAAGGGGTCCAAGACCAACAAAACAAAACAGTAAGTTAGACGTGAGACGTTTTTACAGAACTAATTGTAAACAATAAATGTGTCAACTGTTGCCAGTGAATAAAAAAGCACCCCAAATATCTTGTTAATTCAGGCACACATTGTAAACACAGGGAAGTCAGAGGAACTTGTCAGTGATTTTGAGTAACTTACAGAGCTGTCCAGGAGTTTGTTGCAGTCTTTATCGTAAAGTTTGAAGGTAACTAGAAGCAAAACAAAGTCAGTCAGTAATCCAACCGTTGTTTTTTTCACTTTCTCAGACCTTCCAGATCATCCAATTCGTCAATCTTAATCATTCATTAGTGGTAAAATGTACATTAAATGCAGTTAATAAAAATGTCACGAAATGTTCAAAAGGAGGATGAAACCAACATTCAAGCTTCTCGCGTGGCTGTCCTTCCTCCAGCACTGTGAAGTAACAGGACACATCACGAAGAAAGACCCCACCTGAAGATAAAGAAATACAGAATCAACCTTTTGACGAAACTGGAAACCTTTGTTACATTACTGAGATTTAAAATAGCATGTTCTTTTCACTTCTGGATGAAAATGTAGAACTGCGGCAATAAAACAATAAAAGCAAGTATTCTATCGAAGGTCGGTTATCTGAATAGGTCCACTAATCTCCAAAGCGACTCTACGCCTACGGCTTCATTCCTGTGACGCAGCACTAAGATAAGATAAACCCAAAGAAACAAACAAACAAACAGGTGGGCGTTGAACAATGTGTCCAACAGGAAACACTCTTTGTAGCATGCTTTGATTATTTTCGGGATGGCATGTGGGGTATTCCCAACGACACTCAGAGCCGAGCATGTTTGTCCTCTTATCACCTGCCTGATCCATGCTGTTGTGTAAAAAGAGATCAGGCTTTCAAATAGATTTACCTCCTTTGGGCAGACGGCTCTTGCTGGACGCATCATGCTCCACATGTTGAAAATATTGAAAAAGACGTTGGCAGAAGTCTGTAGGGAAGTTATCCACTTCTAGGTAGGTCTTGAGAAAGAGACAGAAACCGTCTGCATCCACGCACTGTGGGAAGAAATGAAAGTTATTGTCAGGAGACTCGAGGTCAACTGTAATTTCAAGATAATTCCCTAACAATCTACAAGAAAAAATTATGTGCAGAAGTGCATGTTTAAATTAAATGAAGAAACAAATTCCCAGAAATAAATGAATAAACAAATATATATATATAAACTTGGTTTTAATTGAAGAAGACGTTTATGAAGAAATTCAATTTTTTTCTATAATTAATACCAAATTAAATAATTATTTTCTGAAACTTTAGACAAAATGTATTGGAAGAAATGGGAAATGACTACCCTGTAAAATAATAATAGGACCTAGCACACGTATCATTGATCTGTTGCATGACTCACCTCTCCAAAGCCGTGCTGAGCCAGCCGACCACCAGGGTAAAACTCCTTAATCACATCTTTCACCCTCCGACTGCTGTCTGCAAAGAGAACATCAGGAAGTGGATTAAAAAAATGTGAAAAAAATAATTAAATTATTGACACATTTTTCTATGAATCTGTTTCGAACACGACCAACGAAAAGAGAAACTCCGACATTTAAACTGAGGGCAGAGAATCTTAGTAACTAATTGAGCTCTTTGTCTGTTTGCCGGTTGTCCCACCCATTAATCACAAGGCTCCTGAGAGCTAAAACAGGAAACAAACGAGAGCTCGTCACTAACTGTGGAGGTGGACGTACTGTGTGTATCCTACATTAAATCTGGGCTGTGCAGTTTGAGAGGAGCGGGTTTATTATCCTTTCATCCATTATCCAAAGAGCCCCCCCCAACACTAAAAGCTTACATACCCCTTTCATTTCATTTCATTCAAAGCCTCTGAGTGTACAGCTGAATATTTTTAGCCTTTTTGCTTCCTGTCAACAAGTCTATCTAATTATATTAGCTTGAAGTGCGGCGCATAAGCATGCACTTACAGTTTGGAGTTGTTTGTGATTAGTGCTGCTCCCAAAGGTCAGATTCTCAAGTTTGAAAGTAGCTGGAAACTCATTAAAGTATGTTAGTGATCAATCGGGTAAAAGAGAAGTCTGCACACCCAAATCAATCAGAATGCCCTTTTATCTACTCTCTCAGTTTTGTATATTTTGTATTCTGCACACAGGAGTAACATGCACAGAGGTTTCAGCATTTCCCTCCCATTTACTCTCCGGCACATACATGATTACAAGAGCATTCTGATTGATTATAGTGTGTCAGCTTGTCTTGCTCCGTTTCTCTTCTTGTATTTGTTTCTACCTTTGCTCATCACAGAACCAACCATTCTGTTTCTCACAACTTCCAAATCATCCGTGTTGGATAAAGTATTCAGATCTTTTTACTGAAGTAAAAGTACTAACACCATGCTGCAAAAATAGTAGCCAGCCAATAGCACAACTGCTGTACTTGTATATTTTGTGGGTTAGTTTGCTTTATAACTATAACATCATTATTTACAAGCTCTTAATGTGTTTTATATAGAAATCTTAATTTGCAAATTAACTAGTAACTAAAGCTGTGAAATAAATGTATATTTCCTTCTGAACTGTAGTGGAGTACAAATAGAAAGAAAATTATTTGACCATTGTTATTGATGCATTTATGTGAAGGTGTATTCGTCTAGCTGGAATTCATTTCAATTACATTATATACAGTTCAATCTGCAGCAATGCGTCACATTTTATGAACCGATTACATTTTGTGGTTTTTTTTTAATCTTAATCAGCAAAGTAACTATTGGCTGTCAGATAAATGTAGTGCAGTAAAAAGTAAGACAGTTCCCTCAGAATTGTAGTGGAGTAGAAGTGTAAGTTTGCATAAAATGGAAACACTTAACACAGTTCTTGAGTTCAAGCACTTAGTTTAATTCCCCCAATGCAAATCATTATTCTTTATATACACGTATAAAGTCATAAGTGCATATAAAGGCAGTTGTACACAGCAATACATATTTAGACTCTATTGATCTATTGATTTTCCAAAAGACAGATTGTGTTGCTTGCCACCTCCCCACAGCAAGGACTGAGAAAACTCCCTGTTCAGCTGGTCTCTTTGTTTTATGTGCAGCATTATCATGCCTGTTATATTAATAACTTTTGAAATAAAGTTAAGTGAGAAGATGACACTTACATTCCATGTAATGCTGCAACTGGATAAAATCCACGGGAGTCAGAGACCCTACTGTATCGTCAGACGAGGCCATGCCGAGCAGCTGACTGAGCAAAGAGAAATCAATGACGGGCGTCACAGAGATGACAGGGAGGAGAACAACACCAGGACAAAGCCTTAACCTCAAGAGAGGCTGCAGAAACAAGGAGGTAGTCTTTTGTGTCGTAGGTGGGTCGAAATAACTGGTTTGCCGCCATTCCTTGGATTGCAAATACCAGCAGTGAGTAAACACTCCCCTCTGGGAGGAATTGATCAACCACAGTGTCTGGTTCCAGATATTTAGACAGTCTGGGGCTTCTAGCGGATGAATCCTAAAACCAGAGCCAATAAGACTTACTGTACGACATTCAATAAGTTACGGAAGTCTTGTCATGCATGTTTTTAGTTGACACACTTAGAAACATGGACATGAGTCAACAGTTTGTGACAAGATCTGACAAGATGAGGATTTGCCCATAAGGAGGTACATGTAGGCCAATAACATAATAACAGGCTATATGACTGTCACCAGCAGAAAAGAAACATGAATTTGTCACCCGCCTGTAGAAATATGAATTGTGCTGGTACATGTCCACCCATCTTCTCTGCACAAGTCTCCTATCTCACAAAAAACAGTGTAATACCCCATCAACTTAATCAGAAACTTACTGTACAAACACCCAAGCAGATCACAAATCATCAATTAAGACCAAACTTTTAAGGGGCGTCCATCAGACAGGATTAGGCTATTTCATTTCACTGAGTGGCAGGTACGAGTTTTTACTTTGCCATGCTCTCTAAGTGCTGCACAGGTGTTCAGTCATCCGGTTAAGGCCTGAACACTAATAAAGGCTCCTTACCTTCCTCTCTCCTCAGACTTCAGCGGAGCTAGATAAAAAGCGTCCCGAACTCGGAGCTTCACAACACGGAACTTTGATATGTTGGTTGACGGCAGTTGGTGCTCGTGGGAAAACGTCTGTCGCGGTATTAGCGGATATAAGGGATTAAGAAATGGGCGGAGGAGGAGCTTTTAGCGACGTAATTTCAGTTAGTGGCACCATCTCGCCTGTGTCCTCACTCACACAAACGCAATAGGCACGCACACGCACACTTGTTTGATTTATTGCACCCTGCCAACAAGTCAACACGTTTTCTAAATACTGCGGCTTTAAGCCTCAAAATGAGGTTCAGGCTCTCTGGGTTCCAGCGTTCACAGAGTGAATGAGCAGATGTAGATAAAATATATATTATATGTGAATTTATAAATTGGCTCGGACTGGGCCTTAACATTTTCAATGAACTGTAATTTTGCTAATTGTCCTTATTTGGTATCAAATGATCAACATTATTTGAGGACATGTCTGAAATAGAAGCTATACTTGAACAGGTGTAATCAAACTGTTTGCTTTTCTGCCAATTTTCTTTAAGAAAGGCTGAGGTCCATGACACATTGATAAGATATGCTGAGGCAGTGAGTGCAGTACGCTAAATGCACTGAAGATAAAATCCCACAAACTGAAAGTGGAGGACCAGTTGGCAGGTCAAAGGTTTTCTGGTGAGGCAGTGACACTAAAGGTACCATGGTCCGTATAGTCTCCAACTGAAAGAACAATATATGCATGTGATGGCAGGGAAAGATGGGAAACATGAAGGAACCACAGAGCATATTTGGAAAAAAAAAGTTGGCATGGCATGACCACAGTGTGGACAAAGAAAAGGAGAAAGGAGTCATGCAAAGATGCAAAGACAGTGCCTATAAATAAATAGACCAATCATCTGGGCCCAATGCAATGGACACATATTTTGCATATAATAATATGTTTGCAATGCATTGTAGTATATATAAAATACATACTTGCAATTAATTACGGAAAAATATTGCTACTGCGTATGTGAGCAAAGTAATGTCTCAAAACCACATGTTATGTAAATTGATCACATATGAAATTATGTTTTATGATATAACATGTGACATTGTTTTACATTTAACATAGGATCTAAAAATCACATGTATGCCATTTATCACATGTGAAATGTGTTTAACAACTCAAGGTCCACTTACTGTTTACACAGTCTTCTTCGTGAAGTAAGTCGACCATGTTAATGGAATTGTTTTGAAATGAACTTTGCTGCATAAACATATCTTCCAGATATATTTTAATGATGTGTACAAAATACTCTTCCACAAGAATGTCCTCGTAAAAAAAATCCCAAATTACATATAATCACAAAAATATACATCCAGAATCAATGAAAATGCAAATATTTGTTAAAAAGATTTAACAAAAAAAAAAGTTCAACTACTGGACACAAGATGTCTCCTACTTCACGGAACAGTTCATGTTCAGTCTATGTGCACTTGAGGTTTCGAATTTCACACTTGCATAATGGACCATGATTGGCTTTCAAGCGAGTTGTGATGTCACAAATCATGCTTGTACATACACGTCTTAAACTCAGATTTAAGGTGAGCACAGAGAAACTTCCCCTTTCAGCAGATTATTTTGAAAACTGTTTTTAGTGTAAAACTCTGTACATACATCGTTCTGCACAGTGAGCTCATAAATCCAAGTGATGTGACAATAAGCAAAACATTTTTTTAGTGGACCGGGTCTTTGACTTTGACATGACGAGAAGTCCTTCAACTGCTATGGATGAAATCATAATAGCTATGAAGTCAACATAGCTATAGCTCACAAGCCAACAGATCCATCATTGAGCAAGTTCCATCTGTTGATGAAGACTGCGTACAATGGTTAAAAGCCCTGGGAAAATGCCAGTAAGTGGGCCTTGAATTGTTATGTCAAACTTCTGTTTCCAAGGTCAAGAACGAACTTTCATGCTAATAGAAGTCATATTTAGTGAAACAATCCTGGAGATAATGCTTAGTCCTGCATTATAAACCGAGGCGGTAGGTGGCGATAAAGGGCTTCAGTTACAATCAACAGCTGCAGTAAATAAGTAGTAGAAGAAGAAGCACTTCATGTAGGTGTTTACGTTTTCCCACTTCCGTAGCTTCTTCCTAAAGCGGAACAACGTCACTAATCTACCGTTAAATTACCAAATTTGAGAAGAAACCCTCGGTCATGTTTCTCTTTTTTTAACTTAAGTATGAGAGATGCCTGACAGATAAGTATCGTTGAGGTCGTTTGCGGTCCACTACAGGCGCTGTATCGCGAGTTTTCCTCATCTTCCATCGCGGACTAAAGCTAAAGCTAAAGCTAGCCGTGTTAGTAGCTGGTCAGCGGCAGTTGACATCCTTTTAATAAATCACCTGATCCGCATTTAATCCAGTTTTAATTGATATATCAAACAAGGCAGTCATGGCCACTAGGCGTCTGACCGATGCCTTCTTGTTAATGCGGAACAATGCGATCCAAAACCGGCAGATATTGGCTGAGCAAGTGAGTACATACGACCCCCGTCTGAGTACACGTAGCAATGCTGCGGTGAGTGGTCTGCATCGTTTTGACATTTTACTGTGTGTGTGTGTGTGTGTGTGTGTGTGTGTGTGTGTGTGTGTGTGTGTGTGTATTGCATATTGCATATAGCCAGTCACTGAGCTGTGTTAGCTAGCTGTTTAGATACATGTGTATGTTAGTAGTACTGTCATTACAGTAGTAGTTCACCTCAGCACTAACTGCTTTATTTGACTCAGTGGGGTGATGGAGGAGGATGGAGAGGGGTGTGCAGGCATATTGTTCAGCTCGCAACAGCTAAATGTCTATAGTAAATGTAGAATTAGCTTACTTTTACTTGGTATTCCCCATTTCTAAGATAAAAGATACGTTTGTAAAATGAATTGATGTTTTTTTTTGTGAAAGTTAAAGCATGTTTTTTTTTTTAATGTCCACATAGTGCTTCTCTCTAGTAAAACGTGTGCTGTGGTCACTACATTGTAATTTGATCTAGTCGAGATCAAATTGTGCACCTGTAATGCATTGTTCCACTAGAACGTAGCTGGTGTTCTCCTGTACTTATTAACATGTATGACACAATCAGAGGCAAGGAGATTAGCTGGAAACTACTGCTTGTCATTCAGAAATACTAATAACCATTGAGTTGTCTTTATCTTTAGTGGATCGATTATGAAAACTCATGACATTGATAAAAATGTCCAAATACCCAATCCACATGATAAGGCGGAGAGGTGGGGCTGATACAAATCCAGCAGATGCGATCAGGGAAAAATTGTCACATTGTTCTCTACAAATTATTCACATTCAGTCATTTTTTAAGGAATGATTCACCCCGATATGAAAACGTTGTCATTATAAGTCCCATTGCAGTTTGTAATACTACAAAGGTAGTCAAGGCAGTGTCCTACCGTTCCCCAACACGTTTATGACGCCTGATCGTAAACAGTTTACAGCTCTCCAGTGTTCACCGTACGTCTCTAGTAGAGGAGGCCGGCTGCACAGCAATCAGGTGCAGTGTGTGCACAACCATTCACACTCAGCTGAGAACATTTTAACCAGTTAAATGCTCCCTGAGGTAGATTTATTGCTGACAGCCTGAACACCCGGAGTCACTAAACACAAGGATATCCCATCAGTTGAGGATACATTTACCAAAATATGCTGCTGAACACTTTCTTCTCCTAACCTTCATTTTTTTTCTCCTCTTATAAACTTTCTTTCCTCTGCTGCTCCTGGTGGCTTGGAGAGGCCGATCTTTCTCTGACGCAAACAAATCACTACAAACCAAATTAAAGATTGGAGATCTTTTTTAAATGGCCGTGGCTCCTGGATGGACACTGTCCATTAGTGCATCTCTGTGTATGACACAGTGTGGAGTGATGTGCTGGGGTTAACCTCAGGACTATCAGCAAGTAGGCTCAGAGATGGGAAATGCAATAGTGATGCTGTAGCCTTGTCCTCCAGAGCTGAGGAAAGTGTTCGTCTGACAGTGCAACTGCTATGTTCAGTAGATTGACAGCTCCTACACTGTCTGTAATTTATCCTACTGAGAGCAAAACACTTCATTGATTCATTACTCAGTCAGTCACCTGCATTTGTACTCGAACTACATCAGTAGATGACGCAGATATCATGGACCAGCCATGGAGAATAGCTGTAGTGGCTTTTGACCAATAGGTCACCATCATTATGCTAAGTAGGTGTTTAGCTGTCAGTGGCCTGCAAAAAAGTAAATTCTAGAAAGGGTGGTGTCGAATAGTGAAACATCTCTACAGATCCTGGAATAGAGCTGTAATTTCAAGAACATCTGTATTACTGGACACTTATTACACGTATTACACTGCACATTGTGTCATGTAGCTCAAATGGAGATGTAGGAATGTTACATGAACAATTGTGTTTGTAGTCTAATGTCTTACTTGTCTTTCACTGTGACTGTTTATGTTTGGTCCCATTGTCCCTGCATTACACTTCATACATGCGTTCATCCATGTTGTAAACTGTGTTGATTTAAATGTTGCTGCACTCTCCTAATGTCACAGAGAAGATGTTGGTACATTATTGGTGTGGAAATTAGAAATTCATCACTTATGTATTTTTTGAGCAGAGTGAAAACTGGGAAAAAAAGCAACTCAACTGGTTTTTGTTGTAGTTGTGTTCCAACAGTACGCTGTTGTTTAATTATTCTGTGCATACATATCCACAGGCTGAAATATACTGTATATTTGCATTTACTAAAAGGCAATGACTCAACTAAAACTATTTTGTTTGCCATTCGAGGTGTCAGCTTGTTTTAAAATAACTCACTTTGCCAAGACAAATGAGACGTAACTATCTGAAACAAGGCAAAATGTCTTTTGAATTTCCTATCGCATATTAACTTCCCGCTCATTTTAAATTGTATTAAAAATGTCCTTTTTCTTTAACTCCACCATGTCAGGTGATCTTGAGGCTCTTTTCTTGCTGTTTCTTTCATCTAATATGTTTAAAGTGGAATTATTGTACAACTAGTTTCTGGATAAATATGATTTATCTTTGCATTTGCAATCTAGTTTTAGTCTTTCGCACAAACGCAGGACAAATGATTAGATTAACAGCCATGTACCTCTGCTGTACAGACATTATTCAAATTAATTCATTGTTGGGGGCTGTGGTTGGGTATTTACAGCAGATGTTTTCTGGGGCTCACTTTCTGTTACTTCTGTCCTTCTCTCCCTTTTCTTTTTCCTCATATTGGATGGGACCAATCTGCTATCTGCCAATCACATTAGGAGCTTGATGAGGTATTGTTGATTCCCTTTGTGGATAAATTACATAAGAAGCATAAAATGCTTCACCGTCGTCATTGTGTTGAATTACTACATACAATGTTTTTAATTGAACAACATGTTGTTTGTGTTTTTAAGCTGGCTGATGATCGAATGGCCCTGGTGTCGGGAATCAGTCTGGATCCTGAAGCGGCCATTGGAGTCACAAAGAAACTGCCCCCCAAATGGATAGAGGAGGTTGATGAGGTGAAACACATGGGATTGGATCATAAATATATGAACCCATCTGTAAAAGGCTGACCTACGAATACAATATCCCTATTTATTAGACCGAAAGCTCACAAATGCGTCCGTTTGGAATCCTGTAATGTTAAACCGGTGAAATCTTCTGTGTGATCCCAATAGTTTGTGTACAAAGTGAAGTCACACGGCTTTTAACCATCAAGTTTCTCCTTTCAGATCCAGTATGAAATCACACGGGTTCGGCAAAAGATGAAGGACCTGGCCGTACTACACGACAAGCATATGAACCGACCCACACTTGATGACAGTAGTGAGGAAGAGCATGCCATAGAAATCACTACTCAGGAGATTACACAGGTACAGTCATTTACCAGTGTAGTTAATAGAGATAATGTATATTTGTATAGATAAAAAAACCTTAAACACAGATGTGGCAGATGTTTTTAGTTGAGCACAAAGTCAGAAGAGCATGGTACAGTATTGAATCTTGACTGTGTATGCTCCGGTTTTTTGAGGGAGTGAATATAAACACATCTGACAATATTTAGTGTCGAGGAATTTAAAATGAAACATGGGAGTTAGTTTCTGCTCGCTCACTATTTTTGTGTTGTCTGCAGATGTTTCATCGATGCCAGCGAGCTGTGACGAGCTTGCAGTCTCGTTGCGGTCACTGTACCGAGCAGGAGGAGAGGCTGTTGAGGAACGTGGTGTCGTCCCTGGCTCAGAGCCTGCAGGAGCTGTCCACCAATTTCAGGCACACACAGTCCGGCTACCTAAAACGTAAGCACTGCAGTGAAGCTGGGATTGGCCGATTGCTTTTCACATTTGTAACCATTACTAATGGTACATCTCTTTTATCTTCGAGATATTTTCACGTCATTTGTTTTTATTCCAGGTATGAAGAATCGGGAGGAGAGATCAAAGCACTTTTTTGACTCTGGTCCCTTAATGGAAGAGGATGAAGAATTAGCTGTATATGACAAGGTGACCGACTTTTAAAAAAAATCCATCACCATATCACATATGTTATATGTGTTACATATCATCAGATGACTAATGTTTCCAAGTATAATTAAACCATTTTTAAATATATATTTCTAAAAACATTGACTCATTCACTTGCCCGAAATGTGTTAGGGCAGCATTGCTGTGCAGATGGATGTCCTTTTGCCATCAGGGTGTCTGCTGAAATCTACGTAGTGGAATAATTAAATGCAGAATTAATTGTTTTTCTTTTTAATTTTGACATAAAATGAAAATTGTAATTTGTTCTGGAGCGGTATCTACTGAGGCGGTGGCTACATGTTGCATTTGGAGTAATAATTAATCACCTACTTCGTATTCTTTCTTTCCTTTCAGGGTTTCACAGACGACCAGCTGATGCTGGTGGAGGAGAACACTGTTATGGTGGAAGAACGAGAGCGGGAGATCCGACAGATCGTGCAGTCCATCTCAGATCTGAATGAGATTTTCAGGGACTTGGCTGGAATGGTGGTGGAACAGGTATTTGAGTCGGTCCTGACAGGCTTACACACAGAATCAATTAGACTTCGTTAATAATGATGACATGAGTCCAGTCACTGAGGTACCAAAGACAAACGCTCTGGTCCTCCACATACAAGCGTGAGTGAGTTATACCCCCATGACTCCAAAATGTACATATTGACATTTCATCTGTCGTATTCGTATCAACAAAGCTTGAATGGAAATTATTAGGTCAGTGGCAGTGCTCCACCAAACTCATAAAGAATCTACAACTGAAATGTTCCTCTGCTCACAGAAGTCCCTCCTCTTCTCCATCTAGGGGACCGTTCTTGACAGAATTGACTTCAACGTGGAGCAGGCTTGTGTGAAAACAGAAGATGGAATGAAACAGTTACAAAAGGTAAACACGCTCATGTCTTCATACACATTTTGACTTTTTTGGCTCGTTGACTGTCACCATTTTATTTATTTTTTTATCCCAAATTTACATTTCAGATTGCTGTTAATTCAAGATTAATTTTCTGGGTTATTTGTTTAGACACTTAACACTTTTGTTTGGAAGCTAATAATGAACAACCTCAAGGAAAAACCAAAATGCAACTTTCAGCATGCTACAAGACACAATTATGTTATTATAATGTATTATAAATGTCTTTTACAGTTATCTAATCTGTTTGGTCTCAATTTGCATGATGATAAAACACTGAATGGTTTGCTTTTATTCATTAAAGTGAAATGCAGTGTTTGACTTCTTTTTTTCCATTTTCTTTGCAGGCAGAACAGTACCAGAAGAAGAACAGAAAGATGCTGGTCATTTTGATCCTCTTTGTCATAGTCCTCGTTCTAATTTTTATTCTTTTTGCAACAAAGTTTTAATCATGCATTCCTCTGGCTCTTGTTTTCTGTGTGGGTGTTTGTCGTGCGTCTGTGTGGACTTGGTCTCGGTTCTACCCAAAACAAAGCTAACTGCCTTTTCATACCAGGAAATGTTGAGAATAATTCCTCGTCCCGTTGCAGGTGCACTTTGGGCAGCTTGGAGAAGTTTTGTGGTTGATTTTGATGAAAGAAAAAAATCAACAATCCGTCTGAGCTGTGGCTATTTTATCACGTGACTGGCGCCCAAATAGCCAAGCCGAACCTCACTATGTTGACATATGTACTTGTCTTAACAAAAGAAAAACACTTTGTGGTGTATACAAATGGACTACCACTGTCTAAATGCTAAAGCAGAGTGTTTTCTGCTTGAACTCAAAGCATGAATTGTGACATTTGTTGTGTGACAATGCATCATTTCCACCAAGTATCATTGCAAACATGTTGATTCTGTGAGAAAGATGTGACAAGAACGAATGTTTGTGAAAGAGAAATATGCAGTAGATCTCATCTCAAACTGATTTACATTCCTCCATTACATCTTTGTCCCGGCTCAGTATTTTACCTTGACAGGCTAAAATAAAATGTTTTGTATGACGACAGTACCAGATATGATTAGAATAATCATTTAGTACCAAAAATATTCCTTTGGTTTAAGGACCACCTTTTTTTTTTTGTATCCCTTTACTGCACAATTTAAAGATAATATTGAGATCATCGTTACTCAATTATCAGCCTCAGGAGTTGGTAGAAGGTCATGAACTTTCTCCAATTCATCCTGTAATTCTAAAATCATACCTGTGTCACACCTGCTGCACTTTTCATGAAGTGCTCATTTGTTTGTTTCTAGGTCCTTGGAGCTTAAAGTGCTACCTTTTTTAACTCTTGCAGTTTGCACATATTGAGGGCCTGGGGGGGGGGGTGGTGGTTGTGTTATCGATGTAATACTACTGTCATCTGTATGATGAAAATAATTATTTATTTTTCAATAGCTTCAAATAATCAAGAGGTTCTGTCTCTGGCAGAAGTACTGTATATTGATTCAAGTGTATCTGTATTCTCAACCCAACGGTTATTGTCCACTCTGAGGAAGCAGACGTATGAAGACAACATTTTTATTTTATTTTCAGATTGGACACTTTACATTTTATTTGGAGCTTCTTTACGTGTTCTTGTGTTCTATAAAGACTGACGAGCGGAAATTAAGAGCTTTATTTAACATATCTGTACTGGACTCTATACACCTGTTAAATCATCTTTGTCATTGATGTAGAGTTATGTGTGAAAAATAATTGTCATTGTACTTAAGTTTTGTTTTCTGAACAAAACGGGTGACGAGACAGCAACTTTTTCTTTCTTTCTTTTTTTAAATAAACCTGGAACATGGTGTTTTGTGTTTTAAATTTAGTATTGATGCATAGATGCAACTGAAACAATTGACTTTAAATGATATAAACTATTTTACAAATTGATTATGTAAATCACTTTTCAAGCACAAATGCAAAACATTTGATGGTTTCTGCTTCTCAAATGTGAGATTTGCTGCGTTTCTCTGTTTTATAGCATATATTAAATATTGTTTGGTTTTTGAATGTTGATATGGACAAAATCAGCAATTTGAGGACATCCACTTGGCCTAAGTGATTCACATTTTTCAATGTTTTATACACCAAACAATTAACCAAGTAAAGAAGTGGGAGATTGACCGTGAAAATGATCTTTAGCCATAATAGGTCAAGATTAATGGGTTATGAAGTTTTTACCTTCAAATAACATCAATATCAGATGTAAAAGATATTTTTTAAAGTTTTAGATTTCTCATGTGAAAATATGTTATGCTACATATTCCAGACGGCACTGTTAACTTGTAGGATACAAAGTCCTCTTTTAGGAAATTAAACTTTTCTTTGATAGGTCCGCTCACCCGGAAGCTACGTGTGTTACGTTTCAAATTAAGAGCCTCACGTAACACTACATTGACAAACTAAATACCCAGTTTCAGTTAGAGAAATGATACATTCTGATAAAATGTACGGACAGTATAATTTACAGTTCCCTCTCTCTTTCTCACACACTCTTAAAGGGCAGACAAAATAAAAGACGGGATACAACCACACATTCAGCTGTTAACACGTGTTAGATAGCACTCCGCACTGCGGAGGAATACATTCACTTTAATGATAAGTGGCAATATGTCCTGGCTGTTTGTAGCCTTTATGTAGGAGAGTTATATTCGGGCTTTTTGCTTGTCCATTGGAGAGACCCTTTATATGGCTCTGTAAGTGAACTCATGCTCAAACACACTTCCAGTCCAAAGATATGAAACTCGCAGCTGCTTAGTGATGTGTCGGTCGCGAACGAAACGGCTCTGAGAGCCGGCTCTTTGACGTGAACCGGCTCCTGATTGGGAGCGCTTTGTTTTTTCTCTCTCTCTCTCTCTCTCTCTCTCTCTCGCCGCATTTGATTGGTCAATATGTGTGGCGTCGTCTCTGTGCCTGCGCTGAGCAGAGGGGGGAGAGGCGGGAGTTACACACACAGCAAGCACACGAACAGGAGGGAGACGAGTCACGAGAGAGAAAGAGAGCAACGGACTGGAAAGGTAAAAAAAAAAAAAAGGTGAGAAAATGAGTGTCAACAGGAAACGCTGCAAAATGTGGACACATTTCAATTACATTGACCAAACTAAGGCAGAATGTAGAGTCTGCAAGACTAAAATCTCATATCGAGCTGGCTCCACAAACAACCTGCACAGGTACATGAGAACTGTTCATCCATCAGTGCAATTGGAAGAAAAAAGACAAGCAAGTGAACCTGACATTAATGAAGGTGCCAGTATGTCTACTGCAACTGTTGCTGCAACTGCAGTGTCTACAGCATCGTCCAGCACACCACCACAACCACCTAAAAGTACAACCCAGAGCTCTATGAGCCAATTTTTGCAAAAGTCTATGACCGCAGCAAGACAGAAGACAATTGATGACAAAGGATTCAGAAGGTTTATTCATGCACTCAATCCAATGTATGCAATTCCAAGTAGGAAAACACTCTCCCAAGGAATCATCCCAGGCCTGTATGACAGAGAACGTGCTTCACTGCAAGAGAGGGTTAAAAAAGCCACATCAGTTTGTCTAACAACTGACACCTGGACATCCCGTACCACCACATCCTACTTGTCAGTTACATGTCACTTTGTTGAAAGTTACAAAATGGTGTCCTGTCTTCTGGATTGTTTTGAGTTCAGTGACAGACACACTTCTGACAACTTAGCAGAGCAGCAGCTCAAAGTGGCAAAAGAGTGGGGCGTGGACAACAAAGTGGTTTGCTGTGTTAGTGACAATGCAGCTAACATAACCAAAGCAATTAAAACCCTGAAATGGACCCACCACCCATGTCTTGCACACACAATCAACCTGTTTGTAAGAGATGCTCTGAAGGTGATGAAGCCCACTGTGAACAAAGTGAAGGCGATAGTGGAGTTTTTCCACAGGAGCACAACAGCCACACACAAGCTCAAATCTACCCAACTACAGATGGGCATGCCTGAGCTGAAGCTCAAACAAGACTGTGTCACAAGGTGGAACTCCACCATTCATATGTTTCACTTTAAATTAGTTAAGTATTAAAAAGCTAAAAGTTTAAAATAGTTAAAAGTTAGTTAAGTTCATTTGTAAATAGTTAAACGTTTGTTTTTGCACTTTCTAATTTATTTTTTTTATCACTCTGTAGAGTGTATAAATAAAAGTGTATTTATATAATAAACATTTGATATAGTGCATGTTTTTTTTACATTAGTAATTCATATTGCGCATAATTTTACATTATTGTTGGTAATAAATTAATTTAAGCACCAAAAAATCTGAAGAGCCATTTGGGAGCCGAAAGAGCCGGCTCTTTTTAGTGAGCCGAGCCAAAAGAGCCGGAATTCCCATCACCCATCAGCTGCTTAGTAAGCAGCTGAGCTGCTTCCACCAGAGGCGCTGTTGATCTGCTGCTGCCGCCACAGCAGGTGTTGCTCATATAGTGTCAGCGTTGAAAACGTACCACTGTCACTTATTCAGCATTGTCACAACATCCTGATATATTTGTTTTCATATATATTTACAGTACCTGAATGTGTTATAGGTGGTGCATCCATCTGTAAATAAGATATAATTGCATCTTGAGTTGAGAGTTTCATCAACAACACATTGGAATCAAATGTTCTTATCTTTTCAGGAGCAGTCGTGACGCTCACAGACCTTCCTTTGACGCTCCCACAAATTCAAGCCAACGTCTCTGCTAACATGCCATCCAGGGGTTGGCCTACCACCCTTCTGTGCAGATATAATTTACCTCCCAGAGACTTACCCACTGCTGGTGCAGACACTAGCTCATCTGTGCAAGAACAGAGCTGTGGTTCATCTCTCGTCCAAAATGCGGAAAGAGCACGAGACTCCATGTTTCTATGAAGAATGTCTGCCTTACGTTTTGTTGATGAAATCTGTAGTCGGTTGTCCTCAGCTTCTCGTGTTTCGACTTGTTTTCTCTGAGACAGGATCAGCTCTGTCGTTACAGCTTCAGGTTTCAGTGCAGGTCTGCTCATGATATCCTGACTGGAGACTTCAGGTTCTTCATTTCATTGTCTATTTCTTCATTTTGACTCTGTGTTGTCGTTATCATGCACAATGCAGTTTCAGAGACGAGTTTGACAAGGTTATCAGTGCATGTCTTGAAAAATGGTCAACTGTTCCTCTGCTCTAAATTGAAAGTTTAAATCACATATTTCCTGTTTGTATTTCTGATTGTTGTCTCAGTTAAAACACTATAGGTTCATTTTATTAGTACAAGTGACACAGCGGCCTGTTCGTAGTCAGACACCCCTGTTTCTGTTTCTGGAAGGATGATGTTACAAAGAGAACTGAGCTGCATTATCTTCAGATTAGATTCAACACAAGCCACATGATCACAGCTTTAAAGACCCTGAAAATCATGTCATCTGTTGTCCTTCAAAGTAGGCGGTGACATTAAATCCTGCATGCACCAATGAGGGTTCAGCAACATTTGAATGGAAATGTGATGATGTCTTTGGGATTGCTTGCTTATGTATGTTGCTAAACTGTTGTCAATCAAATCTGATCAAACCACACCCACACAATCCTGATGAAGAGGATTCATTTAGTTTGAGCGATACAATTAATAAATAATACCCAAGGATGTTTTTTTGTTGTTGCTCATTTGGTCATGAATATTTAAAGTTATGTTTTTAGGGGCTTTAAAGCAAACTAACACCAGTCCTCCCTCCACACAAGGTGATGGAGTCTGTCAGACTTTTATCTGTAAGCAGCATCAAAACTCAGAACAATGCAAAAACGAATGTTCACAGTAATAATGGATACCGTCATTGTGTCAACATTCACATTTCCGTCTTCTGTGCAATTTTACATCAGCTCAATCTAGACAGACATAAATTAGAAAGCTACAGTCCAATATATCAAAATATTTTTCTCAAACTTCTGTCACATGAATCCAGTTCTAAAAATTCTAGCAATAATAAAGCAAGCCTGAACTGGATAATCGAACATCTACCGTTTAGCGTATGGGCTGTTGTACAGTATTGTTTTTATTGAGATATGCAAAACCCAAAACAAAGTTCATCCCATCCCCAACTATTCTGTCAACATCAACAGATTGTCCTCCCTGCAGCCTGCTGTCTGTACGTACTTCATCCCCTCTCTCCTGCTCTCTGCTGATGTACAGACTTTCTGTTCAGAGAAGGAAAGCCTGTTTGTTACGCTGGAGAGTTTCAAAGAAAGGGAGACAGCCCGTCCGCTGCCCATCTCTCCCTCCGCTACAATTCAGCCGACAAAACAACAGATCCCTATCTCTGTGTAGAGCCTGCCTGCCATCACGCCGAGCACCTCCCGCACGGGTTTCGTGCAAAGTGCAGATCACTGATTTTGTTGTCATTCATGATTATTTGGGCAAAGTTATGAAAACATGTGCATTGAAGAAGTGGTAATGTTGACCCGAGCTCCATATGAGCTGATTGAAAACCAGCTAATTAAAAAAATGTTACAGTTGACTTTCTCATTCTGAACAAAACTGTTTGTTTTATACGTGTGGAAAAACAAATCGGACTCCTTTACATTCGTTTTGTATGACTTTAAAGAGGAATGATGAGGCTAAAGATGGTAATTCTAAAAACCTGATAAAAAAATTCCTCAGTGGTATTTGGACATGTTGACCGGATGAGAGGAGGATGGGCTACAGTGACAGGGGAGTGTGTGTATGTGTGTGAGAATGTGTAGGTGTGTGTCGAGTGGGAGGGGGACTGAAAACTATGGTCCTTTTAAAACAAGTTGTCCTGTTGTGACTTCATTAGACCTCACATAACCTCATGAGCAGCAA